CATTTTTCCTTTAAAAAAATACACCTTTTAATATTTATTTAAACCTATAATGTATATTTAACATTTTGACCTGCCTGAATTTATTCAGTTCTGAAATCTATTAACTGTGAATGCTTTCACAAAACATATTTTTTTTTCATTTTTTGTTAAAGATATTCATATATGCTTCTCATCGGAAATCATTCTACGATAACTGTAAAGCAGATTAAAAAACAATATTTTGCCATTAATCAATAGAACGAAGGAACAGCTTATGCTCCACAGTGAAAGTGAGAACATTCAGGAGAAATCATATTGATGGCCAACATTATCTTACAGCAAGAATAAAGGTATAAAAGATGGGTAGTTTGGTGTCCATTCATGAAAAGTTCAGCTACTTTGTTGCATTCTACCTATAATACAAGACTCTCCCCAGACTGTTTGCCTTCTCTTGGGAATCAACAGATAAGTTTCCAGGGAACTTGGACGAAGTGTTTGGCTATGCCTTTTACAAGGACTTGAGCAAGGACTCAAGACTAGTTCTTAGTTTGACCCCTCTTCCCTGCCTGGCTGGGAGTTTCCTAACATTTGGGCATATTGGTAAAAAAGATTATGTTACTTGTTTAGTCAAAATAATTTTGATCTAGCAGTCAGGTAAATAATGAACTTGGAAGATCTAAGTACCTGTGAGATATGGAACTCTTTGTGGAGAATCTTGTTTGTACTTTGTCTTCCCAGACTGGTCACAAGCTATTTAACCTGACAAACTAGTCAGAACAAAAATGCATTCGATATTTGAATATGCGATGCTATATTAATCAATTCTTCTGATATTAATACAATGTGTTTATTTTGAATCAGATTTTGCTGGCAACCCTTTTTACGTCAGAGAAGGAGTTCCGCATAAATTATTGTGAAGGGACAGATATCTCAGGGAGGTTTATTGTAGAATCATTTATTTTTTCTAAATCTGCCCAGTAGTTAATAAGCAAATTGCTTAGATGTTTTTCTTCAAAAAATAAAATAGCTCATGGGATGATTTGCAAATGCATAGTGTAATTTTATTTTTTGAAGCTGTTTATATTGAAAAATGTAACCAACTTTATTGAGTTTATAACTTACTGATTTTAACGTGTAACTGCTATTAGGGATATCAAGTTTGCCACAAGAGAAATGGCTTTACTCCAGTAGTAGATAACTATTAAGTTCTGAAATCTTGCCATGCAATAATTAAAACTCAGCTAAAATTAATAAAATAAGGTATGTGTGCTTATCAATCTTGCAGATAAAGTTATTTTAAAAAATAGGGAAATTAGACATAGCACCTCTTCTTCATATGGTATATTTGGCAGAAAAAAACATCCTTCTGGTATTACTGACTTATGAATAACAGAAATTAAATATTCTGATTTTTATGAATTATTTTTGGAGCAAACGTAATGTTTTTACACACAAAAATGATTCTGTTCTGCATGGCTCTAGAGTCAAAAGGCTTTAAATATAGCAATTGTGATCTGATCCACATGTATTTGTTTTTTTAAAAAATAAGAATGCAGTGTATATCGCAGATTTACCTAATTCCTGATAAGAATATATGCTGTGATATAGCAAATATAGCAATTCCAAAATTACAACAATGTGGATGTAGATTAGCGTACATTATTTTGTCCTTATTAATGATTCTGCAATTTGGTTTGAACAATTTTTTTAAATAGCAGGATTGTTTTGTGCTTTTAATGAAGTATAAGACTAATTGAGGCAAAATATGTTTGTATTCCATTCTGTTTGCTTGAAAAATAAGTATATTCTTCCTCAGCAGACACTGAATTCTTGGAACTGGGGTTCAAATATGTCCAGATCCC